CTGAGCTGCTCCGGGAAGAAACACGTATCAAAAGTCAAGCAAAATTGGACATTCACTCCTCTGATTCTGGTGCTGCGTTTGCGGTTGGTGGAAAACCTCAATTCCACCGTAATGCCAAGGGTGAAATACTTTGTTTTAATTGCAAGTCACCAAGGCATATTCAATTTCATTGCCCGAAACCCAATACTTGCAATTATTGCAAGCAGGATGGCCATATAATTGCGGTGTGTCCTACACTAGCTCAACGGAATAGGTCTCGGTCGAATGGGGCTCGACATGGACCTCCTCGTCCTGCTGTTGGTGGTGCTTACGCCGCAAATGCCTGGCGGGACTGCTCCTGCCAGTCCTGGTCCTTCTTCCACTACTTCATTGACCCCCGAGGACGTTCGCCGGCTTGTGCAAGAGGCCTTGAAGGATTCCTTGCCCTCGGCTTTGACTTCTGCATTTTCTACTGGTAAGGCTTCTTCTTGTTCACCGTCTTGGCATATTGATTCCGCAGCCTACAGTCATATGACTAGCTCTCGCAATGTGTTTCGTACTCTTGGTAAATCGTCGTCTGGTCTTACCTTACAAGTTGCGGATGGGTCTCGAATGCCGGTTACAGGCATTGGTCATGGGAAGCAGCCCTGTATCTCACTGCTCAATACATTATATGTTCCTCAACTCGTGCCCAGTCTTGTCTCTGTGGGTCAGTTAGCTGATGATGGTTGTCGTGTCGTTTTTTATGCGACTGGGTGTACTGTGCAGGACACGAGGACGGGGAAGGAAATCGGGAGAGGGAGTAAGAAGGGACGTACATACCTGCTTGATCATTATTCTCGTTCGACTGCGGGGCTAGTTGGTGAACGCGGGCAGGATCAGCAGGATGGACGACCTCTTTCGAGCTCGAAGGATAGTCGTTGTGATGTTACTCCTAGTAGGTGGTATTTCTGATTTTTCTGGATTTTCGGTCAAATTGTCGAATTGGGATTTATGGCATTTTTTATTGGGACATCCTCATTCTGTGAGACTTCGTACTATGTTTCAGAATAAATGGTTATCCGGTGGTGGTTTGCATGAACAGAATCATGAGTGTGTTCATTGCTTACAGGCTAAAATTTCACAGCGTTCGTTTAAATCTAGTGAGACTATTTATTCTGAGCCATTTGAACTTATACATACTGATCTATGGGGTCCTTCTCCTGTCACCTCGTGTATGGGATTCCGTTATTTTGTTCTGTTTGTTGACCATGCTACAAGATTTACTTGGGTATTTTTTCTTCGTCAAAAGTCGGAGTTACTCTCTCGGGCGCAGGAATTCATCCAGATGGTTTCTACCCAATTCGGCAAAATGATCAAGATTTTGCGTTCTGATCCAGGAGGTGAGTTTACCTCTAATCCTTTACAGGCAATGCTACGCGAGCGAGGTATTCTTGTGCAACAGTCGTGTCCTGGGGTTTCTCAGCAGAATGGTATTGTCGAGCGCAAGAATAGGCATGTTCTTGAGCTTACACGTGCCATATTATTTCACTCACAGGTTCCTTCTGGGTTCTGGGTTGAGGCTGTTCACACGGTGGTTTATTTGATTAATCGCCAGGTGACGATAGTGCTTCAGCAACGTAGCCCGTACCAAGTTTTGTACTCTCGGCTCCCTAATTATGGCTGGTTAAGGGTGTTTGGTTGCGCTTGCTACATTCTTCTCACTCGTAAAGAACGCACTAAGCTCACTCCCAAAGCGGTTCGATGTGTTTTCCTTGGGTACAGTGATAAACACAAAGGGTATGTGTGCTACGATCCGACTACTCGGCGAGTTCGTATCTCTTGTCATGTGGTTTTTCTTGAAAATGTACCATATTATGGCTTGTCAAAGAACACAATCGGTTGGAAGAGGATTTGGAATTCTTATGTCCACATGATTACCCTACTTCTAGTTCTGCGCCTCCTGATGACAATGATGACGAGCTAGCTACTTCTATGTCCAATAATTTGGAGCAAGGGTCTTCTTCATATTCCTCTGACTCGTCACCTGGGCATTCCTCTCCTAGTTCCCCATCGTCAAGTCTAGACTTGGTCACTTCCTCATCAACCACATCTTCGCCGTCTTCTCACCCAGAATCTTCTCATTACTCCGACGTTCAGCCCCTTGAGGAGGTCGAGCTACCCCCGCTCCGCCGCTCCCTACGTGCTAACAAAGGTGTCCCGCCTTCTCATCACTCTGAGTATATTGCTTTTTGTACTCCATCAGTGGTTGTTCCCGCCACCTTCAAGCAGGCGAAAGGTATTGAGTGTTGGGAGCGTGCTATGGATGTGGAAAATGATGCTCTTGAGGCCGCTCAGACGTGGGATTTAGTACCTCGCCAACCTGAATTTTCAGTCATCGGGAGTAAGTGGGTTTATGAGATAAAAATGCTACCGGATGGGAGTGTCGAGCGATGCAAAGCACGTGTGGTTGCTCAAGGATTTCGTCAAGAATATGGGGTGGACTATGCTGAGACTTTTGCCTCGGTCGCAAAAATGCAGACAGTGCGTAGTTTACCTGTTGTTGCTGCTATGAAAGGATGGCGGCTTCTCCAACTGGACGTGAAGAATGCGTTTCTTCATGGGGATCTTAAAGGAGTCATTTATATGGAGCGCCCTCCTGGTTACACTCGTGGTGATAGCTCGATGGTTTGTCGTCTCAAACGGTCCTTATATGGCTTGAAACAGGCACCCCGTGCATGGTTCGAGAAGTTCCAGGACACCATACAGCAGGCTAATTTTGTTCAGAGCACAAGTGATCCTTCACTCTTCCTTCGCACCACAGGTCGTGGCCTTACTGTGCTCTTAATCTATGTTGATGATATGATTCTGACAGGTGATGACGAAGACGGTATTCAGGATCTTACTCGGGTGCTGCGGTCAACATTCAATCTGAAGGAGTTGGGAGATCTTTCTTATTTTCTGGGTCTAGAGATTCATCGTTCAGCTGAGGGTCTTCATGTTAGCCAATGCAAGTATATAGTCGATCTGTTAGAGGAGGCACAAATGGACGAATGTGTGGCATGCGCTACACCTATGGAGCAGAATCTGAAGTTGCGTTCAGGGGATGGTGATCTGTTGTCAAACGGCGCCTTGTATAGGAGTATTCATACGCGTCCGGATATTTCATATGCTGTACAAGTGGTGAGTCTGTATATGAATGCACCCAGGACGACGCACTGGGCTGCTGTTCAGCGCATTCTGCGCTATCTTAGAGGCACCCAAGACGTTGGTCTTTTGTTTCCTACGAGAGGGGATGAGGTAATGGAGGCATATGCGGATGCTGATTATGCAGGTTGTTTGGATACTAGACGCAGCACCTCCGGCTGGTGTGTTCGGTTAGGACATTCATTTATTTCCTGGAGATGTAAGAAGCAAGATCGGGTGTCGAAGTCCTCAACGGAAGCTGAATATAGATCTATGAGTGAGGTTGCTTCTGAAGTAGTGTGGATCAAGCGGTTATTGGCTGAACATGGGGTAAAGGTTCGCTCCCCTATTCATTTGCATGTGGATAATACGAGTGCTATTCGTATTGCTACTAACCCGGTACTTCATGATAGAACAAAGCATATTGAGGTTCATGTTCACTACATACGTCAGCTTGTTCCAGAAGGTGAAGTGGAACTGGCGTACATTACTTCAGAAGACCAGACTGCCGACTTGTTGACTAAGGCTGTTGCGTCGGCACGTCACTGGTTTATTGCTCACAAATTAATGTTGCGACAGCTACATTAATTTGAGGGAGGGTGTTGAAGTATGTATATCATTATGTAATTATTTGGGTAGCATATTGCAATTATCCGGGTTAGGGTTAGGGAGCTACAGCCGTATATATATGTTTCATGGCTGTTATGTAAGGGTTAACAAACACGTGAATAAGAATCTCCAGTCGCCGTTCTCCGTGGACTAGTCCCAACGATCACCGTTGGGAAAACCACGTTACTTTGTGTGTCTCGTGTTCATCGTGATTGCGTATAGATTGATAGTGCTTTCGATGCCTTTTTATACATTACATATTGTACTTTCTCGTATCCTGAATGAAGTGAAGACTGAGGAGCACTACTATCGGAAAATAACGACATGGTACAAAGAATCAAAGATGCAGCGCCATGAACGCCCTAAAAGCAACAAGTAATACTACCTAAAGGGGAAAACCACTGCAACAAACCTCTATTCTCGTGGGGATATCTCCCCATTTGTACAAGTCACAAGTGCGATAGGAGAGACCTGATGCTGTTGGATTCGTCAACCCACCTTCGCAATGCTTGGTTTAATTAGAACTTAGAACTGACAAACTTTTGGAAGCCAAGCTTCTGGCTTCTGGCTTCTGCCGAGTGCCAAAAGGCAAAAGCAAAAGCAGCTCGGTTGCGGGTTAAGGCCTTAAGGGGGTATTTCGGGTTTCGGTGAAGCCGAGTACTGACAGAGTTGAAGACCTTGTAGCTAGCAAGTACTGAACCTAAAAATGGGTGGAACTGACCTATAATCGAAATAAGGCCTAGCCCAGTATTTCCCTCTAGTAAATTAGGCCCAGCCCACCATCGTGATACCCCAACCCAACAGATACCTAACCCTAGCCCATCTGGATCTGGAGTAGTGGAGGGTGAATTGAAAGTTTGGTTACTTATATTATAAGTTTGTTTCACTTTGTCACTTGAAAAAAAAAATCTTTCAAATTTACCATCAATCGTCCATCACTTTTTGTCCAACTCCATTATCTGTGTGTTAAGTGGCAGTCAAACTAATGTTTACTGTTAAAGAGTTGTCAATTAATAAGCATATAAATTCTAAAGAAAGCATAAATGTTCATAAAAAAAAGCATAAATAGCTATATCAATATTAAATTTTTTATGGTAGCGGATAAGGTACAAAACCCGGACATGCAAAATTCAGTTGTATCATCGTATCTCTATATCATGATACAAATGATACAACTAGGGTTTTATATGATTTTGCAGGCAGGAGTTTTGTACAAGAACCCAAGCCACTTTTTATTATTTTTTTTGAAAGTAAAACCTTTTTTATTTAATTATCAATGTTTAGACAAGCTAGTTCCTCATTAAGGAGAGTAACTAGAATAATTGGTGGCCTATCCACCCAACACTCAATTTCCTCCCAATTACAAGCAATATGGGCCATTTCATGTGCCACTCTATTTTGCTTCCTAGGAATATGGGTCCATTCAATATGTTGGAAGGCTTGGCCCATTTCCTTGATCTCTTTTGTTATTTGGCCCACTTCAACTTGGGACTCCACCTGGCCTGCAATGAGGCGCTCCACCTGCAAACAATCGGTCTGAATGGCGATTGAGTTCAGATGAAACCGATGAGCCATTTACATCCCAAACTTCACCGCCATCGCCTCTGCCTCCATCGCCTCCCACTGCCTCCGCGTCCTCTTCACCGCCGCCGCCACAAAGTCTCCATCCCTCTTCCGAATTACAGCTCCCAGACCCGTCCCTTGTCCCGTCAGGCATCCCGCGTCCACCGAGATCGTGAATTCAGTCGACTGTGCCGGTCTCCACTTCCCGTCCCTCTGGCGATGTGCTTCAGATTCAACCTCCTGCATGTCCAGGTACTCTTCCAGCCACCCGATTGCTCTTGGAATGATTTCCCTTTCTTCCAATTTCCTTTTGTTCCACATCTGACTGTTGCGTTGGTCCCAGATGAACCATAACGCTACGAGGAATTTTCCCAGCTGTTCGTCCGTCTCTGTCTCTTGCAGATTGCAGTACCATTCTTCACAGGTGAGTGTCTCCCCCCTCTCGAACAATCGATGCATAGGAGTGTCTCTAGAAACCCTCCTCACCCACGCACAGTCCCTAAAGATATGATATTGAGACTCTGGTAGATCACAAAAAGGACATCCCACATGACCCCTTTGTGTTCTTTCCACGATTCTGGCTCGCGTAGGTAGAATGTCCCTTATCCATCTCCAAGCAAACAATCTCACCTTCGGTGGAATCTTGAGCTTCCAAAACCTTTTCCAATTGACTGGTGTGTATAATTCTCCAAATTCCTCCTCGTGCCTGTTCTTCCAAAGCTTGTACGCCGATCGCACCGAATATATCCCTGTGGTTTCCTTTGTCCATATCTTTTCGTCCTTGCAAGGTTGTTGAGGGATTAGGATTTTCTCTATCTGTTTCTGATCTTCCATGTTGAAGTGGGTCTGTAATAAGTCATATCTCCAGGTTCGTGTCTCCACCTCCATTAGTTCAGCCACTGATGTTGTTTCTCCAATTCTCGTCCCTGGGGATGTCACTTTGTAGCCTTCACTACTAGGGATCCACCGATCCAACCAGATATCGATACTTTCCCCATTCCCTACCCTCCATCGGTATCCCTTTTTAATTAGCTCCTGTGCTTCTATTAAACCCCTCCAAACAAGGCTGGGGTTCCTTCCTTTTTCAGCTTCCAGCACATCCCTTGTGGGGAAATACTTCGCCTTCAGGACTCGAGCTGCTAGTGACTGAGGCTCTTTTATTATTCTCCATAGTTGTTTGCCTAGAAGAGCTATATTGAAGCATTTGAGATCTCTGAATCCCAACCCTCCCTGCTTCTTAGGTCTACTCAATTCCTCCCACCTTAACCAGTGGGTTTTCTTCTCTTCTTGTTGTTGTCCCCACCAGAAATTGGTGATCAGGCTTTGAATTTCTTTAACCGTCGCCATTGGAATAGAGAAAATCGACATTGCATATGTCATTTGTGATTGTGCAACTGCCTTGATCAGCACTTCTTTCCCCGCAATAGACAGTAATTTGCTCTTCCAGTGTTTCACCTTGCTCCTCACCCTATCTACCAAGTAGCCAAAAGCTGCTCTTTTTCCTCTGCCCACTCTTGTTGGGAGGCCCAAATATTTCTCATGGAACTCTACCCCCTTCATACCAAGGATCCCAGCTAGTTCATTCCTTGTATTTGCCTCAATGTTTGGGCTGAATGATAATTCTGATTTCACCAGATTTACTTGTTGGCCCGACTCTAACTCATAGAGATTTAGTATCCTTTTCAATTGTTCACTTTCTTGCTTAGTAGCCCTGGTGAACAGAATACTATCATCTGCAAAGAGTAAGTGGGATATGCTTGGTGCCCCACGCTTGACTCTTATCCCAGTTATCTTCTTTTCCCTTTCTGCCACCGAGATCAGCCCCGATAAACCTTCTGCCACTAGGAGAAAGAGGTAGGGTGAGATAGGGTCCCCTTGCCTCAATCCTCTCGTGGGTTTAAACCATTCTGTCTTGTGGCCATTTACTAAAAGGCTGAATGATACAGTGGTAACGCACTCCATGATCAGATGAATCCATCGCTCATTGAATCCCAGTTTGGTCATAACAGCCTCCAAGAAACTCCAATCCACTCGATCATAAGCCTTAGTGATGTCCAATTTTGCTGCCATCCATCCACTCTTCCCCTTTTTCTTTTGCTCCATTGTGTGGAAACACTCAAATGCCACAATAATATTGTCTGTAATTAATCTTCCCGGCACAAATGCACTCTGGTTAGCCACAATAATCTCAGGGAGAATTTCCTTCAACCTGTTTGCCAATACTTTGGATAGTATCTTATAGAGAACTCTGCATAAACTTATAGGACGAAAGTCAGCAGGGCTTACAGGGGTCTTCTTCTTAGGGATGAGAGTGATCAAAGTCTGATTCAGCTCCTCTGGAAAGAAACCTCCTTCCAAGTATCCTTGTAACTCCCTTGTGACATCATCCCCAATAACTTCCCAGTTTTTTTGAAAAAATAGAGCAGGCATACCATCCACTCCTGGTGCTTTTAGAGGTCCCATCTGTTTCAATGCTGCCCAAATCTCCTCTCTTGTAAAAGGTTTCAGTAATCCCTCATTCATTTCCTCTGTGACCTTTCTAGGAATAGCCTCAATGATCTGACTCCCCTGTCTTTGTGGTCCTGCCAAATATAATTGCTTGTAGTAAGCCACCAAACAAGCTGCTACTCGATCCTGTCCTTCAAATAGTTCTCCATTCATATACCTTAATTTTCGTATGGTATTTCTCTCCCTTCTTTCTGAGGCACGGCGGTGAAAATATTTAGTATTCTTATCCCCCTCCCTTAGCCATTCAGTTCGGGACCTTTGTTTCCACTTCAGCTCTTCCATTTCAAAAATCATCTCCAATTCTTTCTCTAATGCATCACGCTGCTGGATGAGAGCTTGGTTCATCTGAAGTTTACCAATTCTCCCCAGTACCCTTTCTATCTCTTTCTTTCTATGTTTCAGATTACCAAAAGTCGCCTTGCTCCAGTGCTTTAGCTTCTCCTCACACCTTCGAAGCTTTTGCAGAATCGATCCACCCCCATTCCTTCTCCATCCCTCCTCTACAACTTCTTTTATATCCTGATGCTTTTGCCAATATGCTTCAAACCTGAAAAAAGTTCCCCATCTCACTTCTGCTTCTCCCACTTGTGTCTGCAAAAGCAAGGGGTTGTGGTCTGATCCACATCTATTCAAGTGGTACACCCTCGCCTGAGGGTAAAGAGTCATCCACTGGTTTGTGGCCACCATTCTATCCAACCTCTCCTCCAGGAACGTATCATCCTTATGGTTGTTGTCCCAAGTGAACCTTCTCCCATAGAAGCCGAGGTCCACAAGATTACATTCCTCCAACGCTTTGTTAAAACCCTCCATCTCCTGTTCATTTGCATCATACCTTCCATTCTTTTCTGCATAGCATTGAACCAGATTAAAATCACCCGTCATCACCCATGGCAGGTCTGTGAGATCCCCTAGCTGCCTTATTAAATTCCAGGTTCGAGGTTTGTTGCCCTGTTCTGGCCAGCCATAAACTCCTGTTAATCTCCATTCCTTACCTTCATCAGTGACCTTCATGTCAATATGGTTACTTGAGTAACCCTTAATTTCTACCTTGACTTCTGGTTTCCATAGGACCATTAATCCCCCTGCTCTTCCTGTCGACCCAACACCAAATCCATCCTTCCAACCCAGGTTCCTCATTGTATCCCTCCATTCATGATGCATTCTTTTTGTTTCCATCAAGAATGCTATTTGGGGATTTTGTCTTTGCAACAAAGACTTGACTTTTTTAATTGCCGAGGGATTCCCCAACCCTCGACAATTATAGCTGAGTATATTCATTGGACTGGGCGGCTCTGCTCTACTGCAGAGTCCGCCACTTCGCCATCCATGTTCTTTTGTTTCCCCTGCTGTTCCTCTGTCTGACCCTTCTGAAAATCCAAAACGCGCGCCTTCTTTGAGTGTTTTGGAAAATCCAGATCAATATCCATGTCCCCTTCCTGTGTATCAACATTTCTCTTCTGTGGAGTAAGTTGAGTTGTCTGTTGATGTCTCTCCTTTCTTTGTTCTTGTCTACGCCAAACATTTCCTGGAGGCCTCCTTGTTGTCAGCCCCTCTTCCTTACCCATCTTAAACCTTTGCAGAGCCCCTCCTACTGCTGCTTTCTTCTCTTTAGTCGTTTCCTCCCCTTGTCTCTTTGTAGGTGGTGTCTTATCTTCATTTAGCTTGTTTGCCAAGTTTTCCTCAGTCTCCCCTATCATTGTTGCATCAGTCTGTTCCACAGTCCGAACAGTTTCCTCTCCCCCCATTCTTTTACCCATGCTAGCTCTTTCATTCTTCTCTCCTTCTCGATGTGCTTCGCTCTCAAAATTGGCCCCAGTACATTCCAGCTCAAACTTCTTCTTTAGATTGGCCCAAATTTCAGCCTCTTCTTTCCTAGCTGTGTGAGACAGCCAGGTTCTTGGACCAGGTACCCCCGCTCTCAACTCAAAACCAAAGGGATCCACCTGAAGGTTCGATGGACGTTGGCATCTGAGTTTGGGATGGCCAATTCTGCCACAAGAATAACAAAACAGAGGCAGCTTCTCATATTTCACCGCATATTCCACCAGTTCCCCACCAATATTGAGTTTCAACTTCTTTTTAAGGGGATTGTTGATGGAGAGATTAACTCTTATTCTCATAAAGTCCTCCCACATTGTTCCCGTACTATCATCAAACCACACTAACTTTCCGAAGCGTGATGCCAGCTTTTCTGCCATTTTTTGAGTACGCAACTCCGCTGGAAATTCTCTAATTTGTATCCATAAATCTATCATGTGCAGGTCCTCCAGTGATGGTTTCTTTATCAGGTAACTTGATGCAAGAACAAGGACATTGTTCTCATAGTGTCACGGACCTCCATAGCAAGCTTTATTGCGATCGTCCATGTCCAGAAACTGAAACGCATAGAGGTTCTCCCCCAGGTCCGTTATTTGAAACCCTTTCCTTGTGTTCCACGCTTTTGCTAGAGCTATCTTCAGTGATTTTATATTTGGTTGCTTTTCAGCTACCAGTCTTCCTACCAATCCCAGCTTTCGCACCGCTTCCATCCTTACTACATCGACGTCCGAATCTTCCACCATCAGGGGCTCTTCATCCTCCTCATCAATCGCTATTTGATCGAGCTTCTCTGCCAGATCTCCTTCGTGGTTGCTTCCATGATTCCCAATCTCGGGGGAGGTCCCCGAGTCTCCTTGCTCTACACTTTCCACCATTGTGAACTTGTTGTTGCAGACAAAACCAATCTCAATAGGCTCTTATTGTATTCTTTTGTTCTCAAAACGAAATTGTGAATATAAATCTCCTCTATCGTTAACTCCTCTAACCTTATAATGACCTTGACAAGCTGTATTTCTTCACCAGGAAGTTCTTTCCTTCTCCTTTTCGGGATCAAAAACTAAAAAACCTCGGAAACCCTAGGGTTCCGCCGCTATGCCGCTCTCGCTAAACGAGAGAAATCTCCGCTTTAAGCCACTTTTTATTATTAAACGTTTCTTTCAATCGGATTATGTCTGATTTAGTTTTATTTTTTAATCAGCCCAATTAAAGAATAATATACTCGCACATGGTGCGTGGGACTGTTGTTGAAAGGTCAGTTGTAATCACTCCAAGAAGACCCATAGCCATAATGGGCAATAATGTTCAATTTATTAGTTGGTGCCTTGGTGGGATAGGGTTAATTAAAAACATGGTATAGAGTTGCTAATAATTCTGTCACCAAATCTTCATTTTTTTCCGGATAAATTATGTCACTAGAGTTTATTGTTTTCTCATTGAAGATTGTCATGTTGAAATCAATCTGCCAAGATTCCCAAAATCTTTTTAAAAAAAGTTGAGCCGACATTTATGATCCTAATCATAACCGAACCAAAAACTAAATTTTAGTGTGACTATATACCGTGGCGAAATACGAATAAGGAGGGAGACTGATTTGAACTGTAACAATTGGGGTGGGGCTATAGTCTTTCGGAGTACCTTATTTCCTAAATTTATTACAAATTTTACTGAATAATTTTAGCAGTTGAAATTAAAGGAGCTATAGCCCCTACTCACTTTAACCTAACTTGACTATACATTGCATGATATGTGGATCGCCTCTGGATACTCATCTTCTTGGCTTATTTTCTCCACTCTTTTGTTGTTTTTTCATTCTTTTATGAATGACGAGGCTAACTTTTATTTCCAAAACCGTCCACTCTTTTGATGTTTAACTAATTATCTTGTTGGCTAGATGTAATGAATCGTAATTCCTAAATGACCTAGTTGGATAGATTTGGTTCTTAGCATAAATGTGATAGCTACAACATAGTCATAGAGTTCAAGGAAGCAATCAAATAAGTCTCCGGTTTAAATTTATCGTCTCCCGATCTAGTTTCTCTTAAACCGAAATGGTACATTTTATTACAAAAAAAAAAATAGTAGGAAAAATACTAGAAATTGTTGTCGAATTTGGTGGTGGCCGTGGCTGTATAATTTTGAGCAAAATCTCATCAATCTTTCAAGAAGACACGTATTCATGGGACCAGATATGCTGACAACATCTTAGACCATCTACATCGGCTGTCATTTGCCTATTTCATGAGTGACATGGCATGAAAGTGGGATAGGTCATGGATGTGGGATCTATTTCAGGAAGTGGGATCTTCCACTTTATGAAACTAGCTTTTTACCCGGCCCGTTGGCCGGAGAGTTTCATTTTATCGTTGACATTAATTCAATTTATCTATATGTTTAAATTATTTTAGACCTTCTAAATTTATTATATTTTGTATTAATAAGTGAGTATGTGGTGTGTCTATATATTGAAAATTCTCAATACTTAGTATATGCACTTATAATGTTTGAATTCTCTAATCATAAACCATGTCACAAAGGTATACCACGTCTCATGTACAATTTTTTCTATCTTATATGAATCCATGTTGTTCAGATGAGGACATCTTAGTTAGAGTTTCTTTGTACATATACTTCATTATTGGATAAATTTGTACATCCCAATTAAAAGTTGACACTTTGGATGTTCATGAAGTTTACTGTAAGATCTTATTTGTATTTAGTCTCTTATACAATATGTATCAATTGCTAATTTTTTAAATTTAATTTGGACTAACTGAGACTCATTCTCGTTGTTTATATATTATTTTAGAATCTCAATCCAAGATACTCACATACGGATTTTGATCTTAATATGGTGCGCTAGTGTATAATTTTACAACTTGTAGAACCTTCGTTTTCTAAAATTTATTTATGTTTGGTATTAGTTTAGAAATAAAAATTTCATTAATTATACTAATATGTGCATTTTTCTGTATTTCCACATTTATTGTCAATATATAAGCATATATATTAAAAAGAGTTTAATTATTTTTAAGTGTAATTAATATTTTATTTTACTGGGATTTGTAAAATGTTAAGAAAATAAAGGGAAATATGAACAATTGTAAAAGAAAATAAGGGATGGAAGGACACATTATAAGTGAGAGAAAAGTTATTCTTATTTATCATCTTCATTTATCCAATGAGGTGATCTATTCTTGCTCCATTGAATTTTTATCAAATTATTTTATTTCGTAAATATATTATTAGTTATGCATATGTTTTATTGCAAAAAATGCATGTGTTTGCTAAGAAAGATCATATCTCTTACGATGATCAACTTCTCTAATCTTGCCTCATTTTCATGTGAATTTTCATGAAGTCTCCTAACGATCTTAAGTTAACATATGTCTATCAAGAGACCCAAATTTAGTATATTATATAACAGAGTAAATACATTTTATTAATCAAATATTTCAAAAATAATTCAAAATACAAAGTATTAGCCAAACGTTAACTCCCCGTTAGCATTTTTATTAGTAATGTTGACTCAACAACATGATGATGAGTTGGAAGAGACACGTGACGGTCTATAATCCAATTTAGTATTTTAATTAAAAAAGAGTTACAAAATTATTAATGATAACAAACAAATGGTTAATATTTTGATGTGATACAAAATATTTGGCTAATCATTTATAGTTTGAAAGGTTTGGCTAATAATTTAAAAAAACTGAAAAGTTTAGCTATTTAAATGTTATTTACTCAATATGTATCAATTGCTAAGTTGTCTCCTCCCACATTTTGTCACGGCCACTACTGAAGATCTATACCAGATTTGCTCTGTCCAATCCTCACATTTGTCCACCAATTCACGGCCCATATAGTAACATCGCCAGCTGAATTTTAAAGTGTCCTCCTGCACCATTTCTCACAGGCACCACCAAATTGTGGACATTGTTAGTTTCGTTTACCCGGGTATTTCCACTCTCTATTGCATTTAACACCCGTTATTTGGTTTGCTTTCCTTCACTCAAAATTTCTTCTCCTAACAACAAATCAAAAGGTAATGGCCTAACACCTACTTAGCATATGACGTAAACTGAAAATTTACTTAATAAGATTTATTCAAATATTTTTGTTTAAACAATCGCGATACATGTCAGCCTAATAGTATCCTGTTGCTACACATATATGCTACAAAAGGTACAAATGAATTATTAAATAAAAACAAAAGAAAACATTAAATGAAGATAGAGATGGCTACATAAATTGAGCATTAACTTACTTTTGTGTTTGTAAAAAAAGTGTCAACCATGATAATTTGTAAATTTTTCAAGTGTTTATGTGGCAACAAACTATTGT